GAGAGGGGCTGCTGCTTCGGTCAAAAATCCTATCCGGCCCCAACGAATATCAGGGTCACACCCCGGGCACTTTTTCATCGTATCAGATCCGATTCGGATTAAATTTCTTAATCACGGTCAACATTGGTCGCTGCTACACGTTTAAAAACTAAGGAGTCCAGAGCACACGAAGGCCAAATTGTGATTTGTGATCTTCGAGCCAGATTGCAATTAAAGTGAGCGTGCGACGGTACCTCCTCCGACTCGAGCCTAATCGGTATCGGTCCCGATCGCGATCGAAATTGTTTGCGCGACACCGGCATGAACGACGCGCGCAACACGTGAGCGTGGCGCCGTGTACACACACGACGTTCACGGTACGGAATCAAACACTATTTTGCAGGACGCCGTAATTGTGAAGAGTGCGAGCCCATTCGTGGTGCCCTTAAAGTGTCATGCACTTCACGCGAGCAAAAAAAAAAAAAAAAAAAATCGGTGACAGCGCGCGAAACGATCAGACCACTGCACAGGAATCAGTCGTAGAAGACAGCGACACATGAAGCACATATCTTGCACCATTCGATGAGCTGTTCAAATGACTTTGTACGCAGCTGAGCGGCCAAGAGTGCATCCGGGTAGTCTAGTTAGCACGCAGTCGTCGAGACTTGTGATCCTCGTTGCGCTTAGGCACATGCAGCAACTGAAAGCACCCACTAAGTAAGCACACACAGTTATCGGATCACGAAAGCGACAGCACGGTGCGATGGTTGTTGTCCTGTGAGCATGGCTGCTGGCAGAGTAGGTAGGTGAATTTCTCTTATGATTTTCTGTAGGGTATAATTCATAGATGCTGCAGTTCACACTGATTTAAAGTGTAAACCAACAGCGCACATACCTTTCAAACGACTGCCACTTTCCCTCCAAGCCAAACTTATCCGTGACCATCCTTGATGCTAGCCAAGTGATAAAATGGTGGAGCCTTAATAGACATAACACTAAACGTGAATTGGAGAAAATGTTTGAATTTCTCACTTTAGCAATTTAACCTCAACCGGCAGCCCCCCCCCCCCCCCTCGCCAATTACGAATCTCAGAGGCTATACCACAGATGGCTATACTTGCTACAGTTGTGTATGCGTCTGTAGTTATGAAATGTTCGAATTTGAGAACAACTCGGTAGTGTTGCGTGTCTCCGCCGCAACCCATGGCGACACGTGGCGCTGCCATCGCGCCATGCTCCAACGGCTCCAAAGCGCGCCGTATCGTATGTACGGTTGTGTCGCGTTATCGGTGGTCGGCGTTTGATGAAGTTATCTGGTCAACCACGCTGGCAGGAGTCGCAACTCCTGTGTGTTCTTGCTCCAAACTGTGGAGGCACGAATGACTACAAATCTCACTCTAAAAGTTCACCTCTATTTTTTTTTCCAGCATTATGAATTGACTGTCATTTTATCTTCACAACATGACATAATCCGGAACGTTGACAAGAGATAGACACGCACCAGCGCCCTAAAGATCAATCCCAATTATTGTCTATTTGTGACTTTGCCCATAGTTTTCTAACTGCTCTCCATATTACAGGCTTTGTAGATATGGATTTGGTTCTCCTCATTCGTGCCATTTTCAGTCAGTCAGCAAGTGCGGGAATTGATTAAGAAAGGAAGAAAATTTCAAAGGCTCGTTTCTGCGTTTCACACGATCCTAATAAAAATTAGTATATAATGAAGCTAAGGAAAGTATAGGGGTAGTTAAGCTGCACTGCAAGTGAACTGTGTATTACAATAATTGTGAAATAGATGTGAATAAGTGGACAAAAAAAAAAAAACCTTGCCGCTGGCATTGACTGAACCTTCACCTTTTGTATCCGAAGGCTGCGTGCAGATTCAATTCGTGCTGGCAGCATGTTGCATTCACTTTCTGGGAGTAGCTTATTTCTGCCACAGCTTGTCAATAAACCACACATGCACATTCACAACATAACCCCTAGGCAAAATAAATAATAAAAAGCACTGACTTACTCTAACACTGTTTCTGCCAATATTTGACAATTACCACAATTCCAGAATATGTACGGCTGCCTGAAGCAGTTTTCCAGTAAATACCAAAGTTTCAGAGACGAATAATTGGAAGAAAGAGAAGACAACTTTTTCCAACAGAAAACTCGCTGTATTTCCGCACCAGGGGCTACAAAACAAACACAATTTGACAAAATTGTTCATTCTACTGCCATTGGCTTTTGCAGTAAAAAAATCACTGAGGAACCTTGTTTTTCAAGCACAGTACAATGCTGCAAATCACTGAAACAGCACTCGCAAATGACTTCATTCGGTACACCTTTGGGATAAACATAAACATATAGACACGAGTACATAATCTCTCGCACATAACATAAAGTCAACTGCTGCGCTTCGTAAAAATCACCAAGAGACTTCATGCCGTACCTGCAGTTGTCCAAGTATCATGCTTGTCCTTTCTGTTGTTAAAGTGGATTAGTGGCAGATTTCACTGAGGCATAAACAATTTTTAGCCACTGTAGCACAGCACCCAAAGTCATAGAATGAGATGCAAACTTCACACACTTTTTCAACTGCACTTGTCAGTTTAAAAGTGACCATTATCAGGCACAAAATTCCTGCTCTTGTGCATATAACAATGGTACCTAACATTGATATTTTACACAAAATTCACAGGGCACAGGTGGCCCTGAAAACGCTTATTACTAGTGGGAATGTGAATATGCATGACCAATTTGTTCTTATGCGTGAAGACCTTCGAAATAGCTACATTTATACAGTGGAGCTTGAAATGGCTGGTGAGAATGTTTATACTTGTCCATATTAAGTGTGCAAAATCTCAATAAAATTAAACCAGTACTACTTTCGTGGTCCCTAATGGGTTAAGCAAGCCTGGTGCCCCACTTGATTCTGGAGACTGAGACGCACGCACTACACGTCTTCTCAACCTTTTAAAGCTTCACGTGTGTGCACCACCAGGCAAATGCTGCCTGTGTTTGTGAGTTTTCAAGTGGCGTGTAATATCAGTTTTCCACGCAACACCCCAGGGACAGAGGTGGCACTGGTAAGGTCTCTAGCCAGTGTGGACACGAGCATGCGTGACCAGGTTGGACTTCTGATGGAAAGTTTTGGAGCAGAAGTGACATTTGTACGGACGCTCACCATTGTGTATTCTTCGTTTTAACATGTCAGTGCTGTAACATGTAGTGTAGTTGCACACGGCGCACTTCAGCACATGCTTTTTCGTGGGAGACATTGGACGGCACGTTTCGCCAGGGCGATGGCGAACAATGACCGTGCCTGAAAAAATCAAAACCGCACATTTTAAATAATTGGATGACAACGATGGGAGTTTTGCAGGGTACAATTGAACCTAACTGTGGTGATAAAATGGCTTGACTTAAAAGTGAGGAAGGATGAAATTAGAAAAAGAACAGATGCAAAAATGTTTAAAAAATAGTGCTACTCTTGTAACCTGTTTCATATTCTTGTATAGCTAACATGACAGGAACAAGAGTTTTTTAGTGCTTTTAATACATAAGTTATGAACTAGTACCAACTAGCTCCTCTTTCCATTCTGCTTCACTTATAACCTGTGTTACGATCTGAACACAAGCATTGTTTAAGAGTGACGGAGTCACTTCTAAAGTGTACAAAAACTCATTGTTAATCATCCTAAGCACTTTAGCTTTGGATGATTAAAAATGAGTTTTTGCACACTGCTATAAAGGCAGCCACAAAGAACCGTTAATCTGATATTACATAGCAATAGTAATATTAGGTCAAGAAGCTGCGACTACAGCACCCAAGGTTAGCTTAGCCTCGCAACGGGCCTAGCTTAGCGTGGTTCACGAAAATGGTCCACACTTCTCTGTGATAACAAGAAAACCTGGAAGTCATTCAATCCTAGAATAGGCGGAGCATGTGCATGACATAGGTGCATGAAATTTATACATAACGTAATACATCCTCTTGCACTTCACATAAAAGCAGCAATGCAGAGTCATGCAGTAAAGTTTGGTCCAAGAAGCCCTTGTCAAAGAATGGAAAGAAGTCTGGCATCGCTCATCTAGGTGTCTTGCAATGAATCACTCGAAAACGCAGATGAAAGTTAATAGTAACAGCACGTGTCTACTCCATGGGGAGCAGAGACAAACTCATTTCTACAGGAAAGGAATCATAAAAAACAGAGGAGTTGTATCACAAAAAGAGAAGTTAATTTATAACACAAAGAAAGTGTTTGTGAAGAAAAATGTACATAGACTAGAATAAACAAACAGAACAACAGCAACAACAAAAAACCAAAGTGGCTTATTCTCAAGGCACAGTACCGACATAATTCAACACATTGGTAAACCAGTACTTCTCAAGTACATCATGCCAAACAATTTCGGGAGGTGCACAAACACATAGATAGAAGTATGTTATCACTTGCACGTAGCACAAACTTGTCTGAATGCATACCTACTACGTGAGAACAACCTTCAACGTTTATAGTAACATTCGATAAGCTTGGTATATTGTTTTTACTTTTCCTAATGAAATGCATGTCCTTTTCTACATTTAAATGACTCAGTGGCCAGTTATATTTGGTTATAGACAAACTAACCACAACCCTAAATCCTTCCATTGTCAGGTACAAATTTACACGTCCTCCTATAAGGCCTCCACCAATGAATGTGCTCTTCGGATCGATGCCTTGAGCCGGACAGCTGGTGACTTCACCTTCAGAGAACATTGTGCATGAGCGAGAGTATTTTTTCGGTCGCAGGAATGATAGGTTATTGTACTTTGCAGTCAGGGCCGAACCTCCAAGACTTCTTACATCGTATACGACTAGAGTCACTGACCTAAGGCACAGAATGAACCACACGCTTTACACGCCTTCTCAACCTTTCCTCTCAAAGCTTTTATACTAAACGCCATCTGTAAAACGCTGTCTGCACTCGCAAGTTCTTGTGTGGTGAGTGATGTCGGTCCTCTGGGTATCACTGGAAAGGTCACTCGCAGCTGTGGATGCGCATGTGCGTCACCATGTTGCACTTCTGATTAAAGGCTTTGCCACAGTAGTCGCACTTGTACGGCCGCAGGCCCGTATGTATTATTAGGTGGTTCTGCATTCCGGTGGAGTGACTTGTAGCGTAGCCACACACAGAGCACACCAGCACATGCTTTCCCTTCGGGGGTCCCTTGCGACGCGGCCGGCCTCGGGGACAGGGAACACGAACCAAGCCTGCACAAAACGACAGATTGCATTTCAAGCAAATGACAGAGGGCAAGATGGACAGGCTAGTGATTACTACACCACACTGGGGCGAGGTTGTGTTTGCCAGTTAAATGGTCCCTAAAACATTTTATTCTCATTTTGTTTTTGATTAGACTAATATTGGAGCAAATCGCTGGCACCATAATTAATCAAAACTTCCCTTATCAACAGAGCTACGAGCAATAAATAGGTGCCCTCTGCCTTTCACCCTCAACTCTTCCTTCGAGCGCTTGGGGCTAAGCTCCGCCTTCATGAGCCTGAACAGCGCGTTTCACAGCCAGTCAGATCAGCAGCCATGGTGACGTCAAGCCGCCTGTCGTTCGGTGAGTGGGCAGTTGAAAACGTATTTGGCCGAGTCACAGCGATTCCCAGCTTTAAAGTGTTGTAGCATATTACACAGTTTATGCAGAGAGCTCAAATCGGTTAGCAAATGACCCTTGGGACTAGGTCTACCGGCCCAATGTACTTGCACAAAATCGTGAAAACTGTTTCAGGGTTTCTTTAAATTTCAGGGAAGATGGATTAGAAAGAGAACGTGCACAAAGACGATAAAAAAAGCGCAGCACTGAAAACTTGGATGTCACAAAATGCACAATGCTGATATTGTGGAGATAAAAAAAAGCGTATCACTGAAAACACAGAAATCGAAAAAAACTGCAGCACCGATAACTCGTGATGCCATCCACACACGAAAAAAACAGTGGTGCATGCAAATTTCTTGACAAATTCCTCCAAAACACCACCAAAGTTATTTCCATCGATGGAGCTAATTCCAAAATATTTGGGATGAGATTGACCGAACATCTTTGCACACGAGTGCAAAAGAAGCTATGCAGGGTGTTGCTCGGCTTTCTACTTTATGTGAAGATTCTCAAAAGTGACACATAGAGAGCACATACCAGTAAATGGAGGTTAGCGTGGTATCCCAAAACATTCGCAGTACACATGGATCGAAGATGCTGGTGCGTGTACATTGTCGTTCTTTATGAAAGGGAACATGCGGTCGCGTGACCTGCTCTCTACAACGGCTGCCTACAGTATCTTGCACCACTTGTCCAGCGGCCATAACTCGTTGTTTGTTTGCCAATAGGTGATGCCAAAAGCCAATGTCTTTTCTTTTGCTGTCGGTTGATGATGGTCCAGCAAGCAGCCACCGCAGAGCGCAGGCCACGCACTCGCGTGTTCCCTTTCATAAAGAACGACTGTGTACAACAAACAAATCCATGCTTGGAGCCACAGAGGATAGAATATCATTTCATCTTAAGTACTGCTTCACCTTCAAAACATGCATTTCTTAAAAAAAAAAAAAGTAACTGAATATGGTACTGATTGGCAAGCACACAGAGAATGAGCTTTGTCCAAATATTGGTGTGTCAGTGCGAGCGGGCAGAGAACGAGAAATCTTGTGCAAAAGTTTACAAGCTTTCTCAAGCATTATTTAATTAGCTATTATTTTCTGCTGACAACATAACATCACAGAAAGTACGGCATGGTCCACGAAGTGACAAATGCGAAAATTAAGGAGCGACCACAGGAAGAAAAATGGTCGGAAAAGAACACAAACAGAGTTAGAGCGACACGATGGCTCAAAACACCGCTTCACATTTCTGACTGGTCACGACACAGTTTTGAAATAACAAACTGTGTCGCATACAAAAAAGTGATTGACAGAGATTTGGTAAAGAGTATAATTTTGTAAATCTAGGAGTGCATGAGAATGCAATAGCAGTATGCCGAGAAACAATCATCAGAACAGACATAGTGAGTTTAGCAAGCCACACATGGGCCTTAGAAGGCTTGCGAAAATGGCCCACACTTTGTCATCGTAATGGAAAATCAGGCGGTCATTCAAATGCAGTGTAGAGATAGCATGCGCATGGTACGCAGCAACGTAGAATGCAACAATGCTATGTGGGGTGCTACAGTGAATATAACAACAGGTGCACAACATTTACACATAGTGTAATACGTATTTCATATAAAAACACGTCTGCCAACATTTGCTAAGTAAATGTACAACCTTTACTTAGCAGAAGCAACGTTTACGTCTTTGACAATGAACAAGAAAATGCCACAACAAAACATCCTAGAAGCCACTTTGCAGCACAAAAGAAAGTAACGGCATGTATGAACTCTTCAACCATTTGAGACCTACATGTTTGCATATACTTCAAATTTACACATTATTTCACAGCGCTTGATATAGCCTAGCAGAAGAATCGTCATGACACACCCATTATTGTGTTTACCAGTAATTAATCTTAATTGAATTGTAATCAAACATATACTTATTCCGAGTTCATTGGTGTTCTGTTTTTGCGTAAACAGTTTTAGATATTGGGCTAGAAATGCAGCATAATGTTGTTTTCGGCTGTATTCATATTGAGCAACGAAAAGTTATACTGTGTGACATGACTTGTGGAAAGCAGCACATCCAATTGAACATCAGCAAAGTGATCATATGCAACCGTACACTGTGAAAATGAGGATAGGCAAAAACACATTTATAATTCAGCAGGTTCAAATCATCCAGCCCTTGCTGGATTTTTCGCTTTTTTTAGCCACTAATCAACACAACTGGCAACAGAACAGGTATAAATCCAGAAAGATATACCTCGACTTTGCAGAAATGAAACAGAAGGTGGCTCACTCTTAAACTGCAGTGCCAATGCAGCTGTAAACATTAGCAAGCCTCACATCAGCAACCTCACAAGTAGCTACATGTAGTACAACTTCGCTACGTGAATAAACACACAAAAAAGAGCTCGTAATCAGTTGCTCAGGTGATGCGCTCACCCAGTATCATACCGAGATGCATGCAGAAGAGAAAAGCCAAATGTTGACACAAAAAGACGGGCAGCATGAAACTCGCTCCGCATATCCTCCACACAAAACTTTCGCATGTTGCCACCTAGAGCGTTAAGACGGCCGATGTGGTGCTAGTAGTAAAAACAAAGGAAAAAAAAAGGTGGATAACGTAAATGTAATATCTACTGTTTATTTTGAGAATTCAATTCCTCAGAATTTGCAGGCATTTCCTTACAAGAAAAGTTGAAAGTTTGTAAAAAAGAACTAATCTACGAATTTGTTCACCTGAGAGCCTACTCAGTGAAGCCATACTAACTGTCAAAGGAGGGCTGTTTATGTGCACAAGTGTAGCCGGCGTGTTTTTTCCCGTTCAATCTAAACTGGCGTTGTTAATGATTTATTGTGCCACAGCACTGTGTCTGGAATATGGCATTGCAATGTCACCTGCTGCTGTAGACAATAAAAAGGTGGCAATCCTCCCCCCCCCCCCCCCCCCCTTTGTGCTCATTAGGGCGTATTAAGGTCGTCTTTTGCGGTATGCTGTGTGTTGGCTTTTAGCATGTGGATAAAATTTAACGAGCCACTCACAATTTTTTTCCCAGCAGCTCACGTGACTCAGTTTTAAACTTGCGTTATTAGTTAGCTCGTATGGGGACGAAAAATGGACAAGTGTGCTTTAAATGTGAAAAGTATTTCATGCTATTCAGCGATTACATGTCACTCAATTATCCAGAAGGCGCGCACTGCTTGCACTTTCTATACATGGGTACCCTGTGCCTCGAAAAATCTTCCTTTGGCCCAAGACAAAATGGGTCTTCCACCCACGCATCTATTCAGAATATTTGTAGTTTTCATCGGCCCCCAATTCAGGCTGGGCGCACCACTGTGGATGTCGCAGCCAAATATTGTGTTCGGGAGACGTGCACTGCCTGTGCTTGTGAGTCTCAAAGGGGAGGGAAATAATGTCCTATAATAGACCGTGTTACACCATGAGTGTGTAAATGGTGTCGTATCTCGTGCACCACTGCTCACAATAACATGTTTGTGGAATAAATTACTGCTTTTGAATCTCACTGGTTAAACCCGTCTGCACCTTCACATCTTTTCTATGCGATGTAAATGTCAAAAGTGAAACCAGCTTGTAACTTGCGTTTTTCAGCTGACACCAAACAGTGGAGCTTTACACGGCAACAGTTGCATAGTTTGGTGCTATTCGAAGAGGGCTGCTTGCATTGACAAAATACTGTGTGGCCTTGTGCTTGCCTATTTTGCTGTGGTAAAATACATAGTTCTTTAGTTGAAAACGGGTCTTCCTATGACTTTCTCGACCAGCGTGTTGTAGCGGTGATTTCTATGGTAGTGTGAGTGTAGTGCTTACAATTTCGGGCATTTTCGGAACGAAAAAATATATCTGCACCTAAGCTATACAGGTTAGTGACTGTAGCTAAACGAAAAGAAAAGCATCTTGGAAAAAAAAAAAAAAAAACAGAGCTCCGCACACACGACTTAAATTTTAAACTCTGCAAGCATGAAACAATATATTGCGTATGTGTGTCGCTACTAGGTGTACTACAGTGCACTTATTGGGTGAGAGAAACAGATCCTTTGCTGCATGGCTCCATTGCAGCATTTCTTCCTTCACACATGTGAGGCAGGCGCTGCGTTGTGCTCCCTGCCGGGCTGCAGAAATTAGGTGCCTTCTTTCTTTTTTAATTACTACCACCATCTCTTTTGAGGCAAGTTGGTGAATATGCATGGCTTCCAGTAAGTAGCACATAAGAAAATGCTAAAAATCAGGGACACGGCAGGCATAAACAATGTAGATAGGATGAATACATCTTTCTTTTGTCTTCTCTACTCACTTGAATATGCTACTTATTTAAAGCCATGCACAAAATTCTTCTGTTGATTCCCTTTCTCCATGCCTACATGAGCACAGTCTTCAACATTCATTATAAACTTGAAAAGGTTGCACTGTGTATGTACAGTACCATCCACTATTAAAGGGAACACTGCAATGAGCACCGTTGATATTACCGGCCCTCCAACAGTATGTGCATAAGTAAACGATGCTTATGCACGGCACTAGTCTGTCAAAAGAAGTCAGAACTGTCAATCTGCAGCGCAAAAAGAGTGAACTCCAGACATACCGTGCGCGCAAGCATTCCCTTTAACAGTGGACCCGTCTGTACATGTCCTGGTGTCATGCATGCTGTTTCTGTCATCGAAGTGGCTCAGTCGCAGGATTCACTGAGGCGGGAACAAATCGGCCCCTGCCTTAGTGCTTCCAGGTTGGCATCCAAAGCCACAAAATGAGACGCACACGCACCGTGCCTTCTCAGGCCTTTTCTTTCACACTGCACACACAAACACCACTAGTGCTGAAGCCGTCCAATCTCGTGAGATTGCAAGTGGTGCGTCAGTTTGTCC